TTCCCCGGGGTACGGGTGGTCGTTGTGGGCTGGTGTCGGGAGAGGACGTTGATTCCGTGGAAAGGTTGGCTTCTTTCCACACTCCTTAATTTGGTCCCCAAGTTCTCCGGTACCGGTATAATCTCCACAGCTGTCTGCTTCTTTTGGAGTCCCTCCCGAAATTTCTCCAAGGCTCTAGCTCCTCGAAAATCATAGGCTTTCATTAAAGCATCTTTGTAAGATAACTTTAACGAATCCTTATAATTTCTTGGGTCTTCAAGGAGTTTCCGTGTCTCGGCAGACTCCTTTTTTCGCGGAGTTAGATTTTTTCTCAGCGATTTCCTCTGGGAAAGACTGGTCGTGGGGTGGAGATTTTTCTCCATCATTTTCTCCTGTTCGCGTTGAATCAGCTGCGTCGAAGTTGATTTTTCCGGAAGTCTGCGGCCGCTTTCGGATCTTTTCTTTTTTGCCAGCTAGATCCGCAATTACTGGCGAGTCCCCTTTTTTGCATTCTGATTGGCCGAAGGATTTCCGCCACTATTGCGTGCCCGATACTCTGCGCGTGCGGCTTTCATTTTGTTGCAGTCGAAGATTCGATGACCCGTCACCCCACAAAAATCACACGTGAAGTTGGTGTTTTTCGGATGTGGCCGCCCTTCGAACCTGTCGACTTCCATCGGGTCGGCGAACGTGGGGTGAGCCGAGCGGTCGCCCTGTCGCGTACTGCCGACGTGCGTCCGTCGTGTTCCTGTGTTGACCATGTCGAAGCGCTCCGCTGCCGAAACGACGTCACTGTAGCTCGCGTAGTTTGACGCTGCCACTTGTCGTTTGACTTCAGTCTTCAGCCCGGCGAGGTATGACTGTACTTTTTCCCCTTCGGTCAGGTCGGGAATGCGGTTATAAAATTCTTCCATCTGCTGCGTGTACTGTGCTATACTCCCGAACTGTCGATGGCGATGAATTATTTCCCGGGCAAGGAAACTCGAATTTATCGGCTCGAATCGTTTCAGCAGGTCGGCGCGGAACTGCTGCCACGTGGCTTCACCGTGGATGAAGGTACTGTTACCGCCAATCCACTCGAGTGCCGGCCCTCGCATCAGTGTCGCCGCGAGTCGTACGCGTTGACCGTCCCAGGCTGGCGAGCTCCATCCGACGGCTGCGAAGTAGAACTCCATGCCGGCAATCCATCTGCGGACGTCGGAGTTTAGATCGCTCGGATCGAACGGCTCAGGTGGGCGCGGTTTCGGAGCCTCGAGAAACTGTTGCGACTGCTGCGTTGTCGCCGTTGTCGAGTCGTGCTGCGCTCCGGCGAGTCGAGTTACTCGCTCGAACTCGTTTCGCCATGCTTCGCGATCCGCTCGCATCTCCTCCTGAAGGGCTGCGATGCGCGCGAAGTGCTGCTGGGTAACCTCGCCGTTGTCGAGGGTTGCCATCCTGTTCAAAACACGCGCGGAGGGGGTAATTCGAAAAATCGCGGAGCTGGTGCTTACCAGAATCGGCGTCGAATTGGTCGCCCACGGCGGTTTTTCGAGGCAGGATCCCCGCTGCTGCTGCTGCTGCTTAGCTGAGCGCGGCCGAGTGAGAAAAGCTCTGATTACCAAGTGTCACAGGATCGAATGTGTCGAGGAAAGCTTGCACTATCGATCAGTACAAGGTGTTTTTATGCTTCCAAAGTACATCAGGTAACCAGGTTTATCTTATCCTAAGGGAATAGACCCTTCTAGAAGATAGAATCACCCTGCGTATAGCCACGCGAGGCTATTGGCTTTAAGGGATTACGGCAGGATTACGCCAGATAGCGCACCAGTACATCCCAAGCCTGGTCGGTGATATAAGAATAATAGCAGGATAAACCAAAGGTTAATGGAAAATGGAGAATAGGAAACCAAATGAGATGAGATAAAAAGAGAAATGAAAGAGGAAGGAAATAAGAAAAGGGACAAGTGGTGTAACGGGGTCGTACTCTCACAATTCTTGTACTCGTCATTATTATTCCGCGCACTCTCAGTTATTATTCATAACATGTTGGACGTCTAAGTCTACGCAGAAGATGCTGTGTCGGATAAGCCTTTTTAGGTCATCTCTGTTATAAATAATAACTCTGAGAAGAACACAGTATTCAATGAGGGGAACGTGATAAAGAAAGCACTCCCTTTATCAAGGCCGAACAGTTATTAAAAGTAATCCCCGATGTGACTGTAATTCTTCAGCCCTGTGACGAGCGTAATGATTACGTGGGCCTGACGAGGTCTTCAGGACGAAATGCAATCGAGGGTCAGAAAGCGTCGAAACAATCTCTTTTAATCGCAGCCGTCGAAGATGTCGAATTCTTCAGTTAACCGAACGGGCAATGGCGAAAACTCCCAAGTGACGAGATGATGACGATGACCAATGCTGATGAATAGTTAAGTGTCGCATGGGCGGGTAATGATGACGCATTGCAAGATGATAATGATGACTGCCGAATGACGTGGTAGTCGGATGGCAAAGAGACATTCATCAACATGCGACATCGTTCGTATCACATGCGAGATCACGCGTCTGTGTCCCACAAAAAGTCAACAAACTGCATCAACGAAGTGACGAAATTAGGCGCGGAAGCATAACATTGACAAATATTGCTTGAAGATGAATGATGGAACACGTCGGAAGGGTTGGACGAAATCTGCAACGCAGCTGCCCTTCTCCCCCACTCCAAGAAGAGACAGCTCCCAGTAGCTAGGGTAAAACGTCAAGAAACCCAACGCTCCAGGGCACTCGAGATACCCATTCTCCTGCTTATAAATCCCATAACCCAGCTTCGAATATGCGATGGCTAAAACTCCCAAACTGCTCCAAAGTTGAAATTCTTCTCCAGGGAAAACAACTTCAAGGTCCTGTCAATTCAACAACAAGTGCTCCAAATACTCCCACATGAACTGAAAATTCTGCACGAGTAGGAACTTTGCTAGCAAACTGGTCCCAACACAGCTCCAGCCGGTACTGACGCTCTCAGTTGCAAAATCTCGTTGATTCGATACTGTTCTTGACGGGTGGCGATTGCAGTCGGGGTCGTGTTCACACAATCGATCGAATGTAGGCGAAGTGACGGTGGAGGCGTAAGCGAGTGTTGGCAAGATGTTGACGATGCTGACGATGGAACGTTACCTACACTAAACTGCTTCAATGAATAACCTCGAGACAAACTCAGGGTCAAATGATGTTAACTACATTAGCTTCTTTGTCCGTACACGCCGAAATATTTGGGAAGAACCGAAACAGCTACTGCTCTCCCTCCTTTCCACGTACCCAAAATACTCCGCAAATTTCTGTCGATGTTGCTCATACCCCAGATGATAGCGAGTACTACTCCAGCTATAATTCCATGAACTGCTCCAGCGAAAATGTCGGAACTTCATTGGTACTTAACCAAGACTGCAACACTGCTTCACAGCTACCCGTAATACAACCCTCGAAAGACGTGACGTCGTTTAGCAGTGCCCTCACTGTTGCTCCACCAGCTGCACGCATGAACTAAACCCTTTATTTCAGGGAACACCGGAGTCCACCACCTCGGCATGATGTTTTGGCCGTTGATCAAGGTCACCGCGCATCATACGTTATCGATCTTCACCCAGCTGTTACCTAACCCATAAATTCCCCGGTACCCCTGACCAGCAGACCGTGTAGACGTTCACCCATCTCGCGGCTGCTGCATGTTACCCCAAACCTAAATCGCTGCTGCTTAACTAAGAGAATTTGCAGAGATAGGAGTGCGCACGCTTCTAATCAAAGGAGCTTTAATGAGCTCGCCTACTGTCCGCTGGACAGCTCCCTCCTTCGTCGGAGACTCGTCGAACTACACCCGCAAAATCAGAAACTTCTTTCGCTACACTAGGTGAAACCCTCTGCTCCACTGCAACAGTAACTTCTGAATTTTCGTGGACACTCCATCAGCACAGTATAGTTTGCAAGTTCACCCCCCTTATTCAGCCAAGAGTCGTCGATTAATAAGTCGACACTGCTACCTGGTGGGGATAGTGATATTAGGGCGACATAGCTGAGCAAGTAGCAGCCCGAACGCCGCTAGCCCTTAACTAAGCTCCAGTAATCCCGTCGTTATATATAATTGATAGGCTTGGTAGTTGTTATTGAACTCTACTGCAGAGGGTACAACTCCCTCCTTGTATGCCTCCCTCTCTTCTATTCCAACACTCTTTCATCTCTCAACTTTCGTAGCATCTAAAACCTCTCGTCATTTCATGGCGCCCCTTCCTAGCTAGCTACTTTAACACGAGCCCCAGTAAGGAATGGTAGTTCCTGTACCCAACCTAGCCCTCCAGGCTCGTCGCCTAGCTAGAGTTCTCTCTATATAATGCTAGGCTCCCATTCTTGTACTCATTATTATTCCACGCACTCTCAGTTATTACTCATAACATCTCGGAACATCGAAGTCTGCGAAGAAGATGCTGTGTTGGGTAACCGTTTTCCGTCCATCTCGTCATTATCTGACGCATCACTTCTGTACACTCGCTGTCAGCGGTGCGGTTTGAGAGACTCTGTCGGTGCTGTCTGCCTGTCCCCCCCTTCCCCTACGGGGCACACATCAAGTATGTACAGTACTACAGTGCAGTACAGTCACAGAACCGCGCAGCGATCAGTAGCACTCGCTATTGCGACAATAAAGAGCCATCACCACGTCCCGTACGATTGCGGTTCAGTAAGTTTGATTACGTTTTACAAGCGGTCGAGTAGGGTAATGGGCGAAAACGAGGTTGCGTATGTGACACCTTCATGGTGGAGGGCACGTCACATTTCTTTTTCGAACACGCCTCAGGGTCGACCACTCAGAGAGGTTGAAAGCGGTATGATGTGCTGGACTACGCTGTATAACTATTTCGACGTGGTAAAGTACGTTGAATATTCGGTTCGGAAGCTGTTCGTGAAAATGAGAACTTCGGAGCCTCTCTTACCTCACTGCATCACCGCTAGTGAGGCAGGCTCATAGACACCAGGTTTTCCGTGCTGCAGTAGGGTCCCTGCCTTACAGAGGCGTGTGGCGTCCCTAATTACCTCCACAAGTACGAGCTAACTAAGTAAGCTTTCGCGGAGATTTACGAGCAAGAGTACAGCGAGAATTTACATCCCGGAAAAGTAGACTCCAACCATTCTTCAAGGCCTTCGATTCGTAGAGGACGCTAGACGACGAGTGAGCGCGCGTACGCTACTACCTCCACGAAACGTTCTGCCTAACCCTTGATTGAATACTGAAGAGCCGCAGGTATCCTCGAAACCACTAGCGTGTCTTTCGTCACACGCCTCCCGTTCAGTGCGCTGCTATCGATGTTGCTCTTTCATCGAAGCCTCGTGCCACGCGCCGTCAACTCTGGACCTTTCACTTCCAGCGGTAGCGAGCATAATTCTTCCTTACTACGCAATGCGCCTCGTCTTATTTCTTCGTAGTATTTCGTTGACTGAGTAAACGGCGATCACTCGTTGCGTCCTCCGCACAGAGCTGACGCGCCGCCGCAAAACAGAGCATCGCTAGGTGCTTACCCGACAGAGTCTACCTGCACATTTGATCTGCGCGCCAAGCCTCTTTCTACTAATGGTGTCATACTGTATTCTAAGCCATTTTTGAGTCGACTAAAAAATCACCCACGGAGTTGGCGCGCTGCCGCAAAACAGAGCCTCGGTAGATGGGCCTACGCGCACTATGGCACAGATGAACTGCGCGCCAAGCCTCTCGCTGCTACTAGTGGCGTTTTACTGTATTGTAGGTCTCCTGGTGTCCGTTGCGGCAGGTGACGACCCGCAGAGCGGGACGGATCGTGACTTACAGAACGGCAGGCGGAACGGTTTCGACCCTCGTTTCGAGCCGCGTTTCGACCCACAGAACGGAACGGGTGTCGTCCCGCAGCATGGAACAGGTCGCGGCTCACAAGCCGACTGTACGTCGGACGTACAGAATGGCACAACGCAGCAGCACCCGCCGCGGCGGCAGTGCGATTGCCGAACGCACAAACAGGCTGCGAGTCCGTGCGATTGCGGTTACAGGTCTCGCCAGCACGTCAGCTCTCGCAGCACTTCGTGCGGCGACAATTGCTCAGTCGGCCGTCCATGGCGGAAAGGGGAGGACCGCGCCCGCTATCGGCGAATCGGACATCTGCAGCAATTGCTTCAGTCGCGCCTCACACGGAGCCTCTTAGAAGAACGGTACTTTGCTAAGCGGCTCTTAGTGGACGTGCCGCAGATGGAGCCGTTGGCTGAGAACCGCACTAGGCGAATCGACCCGCTGCAGCAGTTCCAGTACTACGAAGGCGGGTGGGACCCCAGCAGCAAATACTACTGGGCAGTAAGAGCGTACTTTCCCTCCCGCCCCTCCCTCTTCGTTTTCGTCAACTCAGAAGAGCAAATCCCCGACAGCGGTGGGTCCCCAGCAGCAAGCACCACTGGGCGGTAAGGGCGTACCTCCCCTCTCGCCCTTTTCCTCGTCTCTTTTGAGTCGACGCAAAAGACGAGGGGGTGGGACCCCAGCAGCAAATATTACTGCCCGGTAAGGAGCCTCTCGGTGAGTCAACACTCTCCATTGTGCTGTGCTGTGCTGTGCTGTGCTGTGCCGTGCGGTGCTGTGCGGTGCTCTTGTTAATGTTGCGCATTATGTCTGTTGCAGTGGAACATTTCTCAGGATCATCAGAGGCGTCATCACATGAATTTGCAGGGCGTTATTGAGAATTGCCAAAAACACCCTGCGTACACGAGTGCCTGGTGCCTGGGCAGGCATGTCGCTTGGTCGTTAAGCCCATCGCCTCTGTATACGAACACTGAATTCATCGCTAGTACCTGTTTGTATTCTGTCCTGCTCCCCCTCCTTCTATTTCTCTCCCTCCCTTCCTCCCTTGTTAACCCTTTTCTCAATCCCACCCTCACCCTCTCCCTCCCTCCCTCCCTCCCCCTCTCCCTACATCCCTTCCTTTCTCATTCTTCCCCTTCTTCTTACTCCCTCCCTCCCTCCCTCCCTCCCTCCCTCCCTCCCTCCCTCCCTCCCTCCCTCCCTCCCTCCCTCCCTCCCTCCCTCCCTCCCTCCCTCCCTCCCTCCCTCCCTCCCTCCCTCCCTCCCTCCCTCCCTCCCTCCTCCCTCCCTCCCTCCCTCCCTCCATCCCTCCCTCCCTCCCTCCTCCCATCCCTCCCTCCCTCCCTCCCTCCCTCCCTCCCTCCCTCCCTCCCTCCTCCCTCCCTCCCTCCCTCCCTCCCCTCCCTCCCTCCCTCCCTCCCTCCCTCCCTCCCTCCCTCCCTCCCTCCCTCCTCCCTCCCTCCTCCCTCTCCTCCCTCCCTCCCCTCCCTCCCTCCTCCTCCCTCCCTCCCTCCCTCCCTCCCTCCCTCCCTCCCTCCCTCCCTCCCTCCCTCCCTCCTCCCTCCCCCCTCCCTCCCTCCCTCCCTCCCTCCCTCCCTCCCTCCCTCCCTCCCTCCCTCACTCCATCCCTCCCTCCCTCCCTCCCTCCCTCCCTCCCTCCCTCCCTCCCTCCCTCCCTCCCCTCCCTCCCTCCCTCCTCCCTCCCTCCCTCCCTCCCTCCCTCCCTCCCTCCCTCCCTCCCTCCCTCCCTCCCTCCCTCCCTCCCTCCCTCCACTCACTCCATCCGTCCCTCCCCCCCTTCCAGTCAGTGGCATGGGCGGGGGTCTATGGCCTCATAGTGGGGGTGGCGTGGGTTATATTCGGTATAAGCATCCTCGCTTTCGCGCTCTGCGCATGCCTCTTCTGCCGCAAGCGGTGGAAGTCGCGCATGGACAGCGACCCGCCTCAGTACACAACGTTTCAGATCCGCGTACCACTTGTCGCGCTCTCATTGGCCGCCCTCATCATCCTGTGAGTGGGCGTGGAGTGGGCGTGGAGTGGGCGTTGAGTGGGCGTGGAGTGGGCGTTGAGTGGGCGTTGAGTGGGCGTTGAGTGGGCGTTGAGTGGGCATGGAGTGGGCGTGGAGTGGGCATTGAGTGGGCGTTGAGTGGGCGTTGCACTGCTTGTAACGGGGGAGGTGCTATTCCAGAGTGAAATTTCAGAATTAAAAAAACAATCACTCACAGCAGCGCCAGTCACGCAGTTCACACTCTCACCAGTAGGAAAGCCGTTGTGGGTGCCACTCGCAACCTCTCCCTCACCTCCTTCTCTCCATCCCTGCCGGCATCCCCCTTCTCCCATTCCCTCCTCTCCTCCTTACCCTCCTTCTCTCCCCTCTACCCTCCCAACCCCCCCTCCTCGCCTCCTCCCCTCCTCCCCTCCTCCAAATCCCCCCCCCCCCCTTCCCCCCCTTCCCCCCCCTTCCCCCCCCCGCGCTGCCTACTGTAACTCGCTGCTCCGCCCAGCGTGGGCTTTGCGCTGCTGGTAGCGGGGCAGGTGCTCTTCCAGAGCAATTACAAGTTACAGCAGCGCCACCCAGTTGACCTTTCCCTGTTCCCTGTCTCGTGTCCCCTCTCCTGCTCCGCCCAGCGTGGGCTTTGCGCTGCTGGTAACGGGGCAGGTGCTCTTCCAGAGCAACTACAGCAGCGCCACCCAGTTCACTCTCGCCACAAACACAAGCCGTCGTGGGCGTCACTCAAAACCTCTCCCTCGCCGTGCAGCAATCCGCCAACGCTGCTGTCTTCGGCGTCATCGTTCCGCGTACGCTCCCCTCCCCCCCAACCTGTATTCTCACATCTGTTCCCTGGAGTGCTTTCTCCCTGTACAGTCACCCGCTTGATCCCCCGCTTGCACATCTAGTCATTCACAACCTCTCCCCCGCCATCCAACACCCCGCCAACACTGCTGTCTTTGCATTACTGTTCCCCGTACGCTCCCCACCCCACCCCACCCTCCCCACCCTCCCCTCCCCTCCTCTCCGCCTCTCTCCCCACCTCCCATTCCCCCCAGCCCCCACCCAGCAGTCGCTGCTCCAGGGAGCAGCGAAGGCAGAGCACATGGCAGCTGACATCGAGGCTCGGATCACTGATAGCGTCGACAGAATGGATGGCTACGTGAAGATTGTGTGAGTGGACAGATGAGTGGGTAGAGTGTGTGAGTGTGGGTTTTTTTACTCAATGGCCGGCTTAGCATTGACAGGATGGATGGCTACGTGAAGATTGTGTGAGTGGATCGTTTGGCGTGGGTGGATCGTTTGGCGTGGGTGGATCGTTTGGCGTGGGTGGATCATTTGGCGTGGGTGGATCGTTTGGCGTGGGTGGATCGTTTGGCGTGGGTGGATCGTTTGGCGTGGGTGGATCGTTTGGCGTGGGTGGATCGTTTGGCATGGGTGGATCGTTTGGCGTGGGTGGATCGTTTGGCGTGGGTGGATCGTTTGGCGTGGGTGGATCGTTTGGCGTGGGTGGATCGTTTGGCGTGGGTGGATCGTTTGGCGTGGGTGGATCGTTTGGCGTGGGTGGATCGTTTGGCGTGGGTGGATCGTTTGGCGTGGGTGGATCGTTTGGCGTGGGTGGATCGTTTGGCGTGGGTGGATCGTTTGGCGTGGGTGGATCGTTTGGCGCGGGTGGATCGTTTGGCGTGGGTCGAGCCTAGAGTGTCTGAATGGATGGGCGTGGCGTGGGTGAATAAGGTGCGTGATAGCGTCGACGGAATGGATGGCCCCGTGAAGGTTGTGTGAGTGGGTAGATTGTGTGAGTGGGTACATTGTGTGAGTGGGTACATTGTGTGAGTGGGTACATTGTGTGAGTGGGTACATGTGAGTGCATGCAGGGGTGCTTGACTCGACTTAAACTCAGGCTCTGACGAACGGAGATTGAGGCAAGAGCAGTTGATAGCGCTCACAGGATGGATGGCTGGTATCACCCTTGCGCTCACAGGATGGATGGCTGGTATCACCCTTGCGCTGACAGGATGGATGGCTGGTATCACCCTTGCGCTGACAGGATGGATGGCTGGTATCACCCTTGCGCTCACAGGATGGATGGCTGGTATCACCCTTGCGCTGACAGGATGGATGGCTGGTATCACCCTTGCGCTGACAGGATGGATGGCTGGTATCACCCTTGCGCTGACAGGATGGATGGCTGGTATCACCTTGCGCTGACAGGATGGATGGCTGGTATCACCCTTGCGCTGACAGGATGGATGGCTGGTATCACCCGTGCGCTGACAGGATGGATGGCTGGTATCACCCGTGCGCTGACAGGATGGATGGCTGGTATCACCCTTGCGCTGACAGGATGGATGGCTGGTATCACCCGTGCGCTGACAGGATGGATGGCTGGTATCACCCTTGCGCTGACAGGATGGATGGCTGGTATCACCCTTGCGCTGACAGGATGGATGGCTGGTATCACCCTTGCGCTGACAGGATGGATGGCTGGTATCACCCTTGCGCTGACAGGATGGATGGCTGGTATCACCCTTGCGCTCACAGGATGGATGGCTGGTATCACCCTTGCGCTGACAGGATGGATGGCTGGTATCACCCTTGCGCTGACAGGATGGATGGCTGGTATCACCCTTGCGCTGACAGGATGGATGGCTGGTATCACCCGTGCGCTGACAGGATGGATGGCTGGTATCACCCTTGCGCTGACAGGATGGATGGCTGGTATCACCCTTGCGCTGACAGGATGGATGGCTGGTATCACCCGTGCGCTGACAGGATGGATGGCTGGTATCACCCTTGCGCTGACAGGATGGATGGCTGGTATCACCCTTGCGCTGACAGGATGGATGGCTGGTATCACCCTTGCGCTGACAGGATGGATGGCTGGTATCACCCTTGCGCTGACAGGATGGATGGCTGGTATCACCCTTGCGCTGACAGGATGGATGGCTGGTATCACCCTTGCGCTGACAGGATGGATGGCTGGTATCACCCTTGCGCTGACAGGATGGATGGCTGGTATCACCCTTGCGCTGACAGGATGGATGGCTGGTATCACCCTTGCGCTGACAGGATGGATGGCTGGTATCACCCGTGCGCTGACAGGATGGATGGCTGGTATCACCCTTGCGCTGACAGGATGGATGGCTGGTATCACCCTTGCGCTGACAGGATGGATGGCTGGTATCACCCGTGCGCTGACAGGATGGATGGCTGGTATCACCCTTGCGCTGACAGGATGGATGGCTGGTATCACCCTTGCGCTGACAGGATGGATGGCTGGTATCACCCTTGCGCTGACAGGATGGATGGCTGGTATCACCCTTGCGCTGACAGGATGGATGGCTGGTATCACCCTTGCGCTGACAGGATGGATGGCTGGTATCACCCTTGCGCTGACAGGATGGATGGCTGGTATCACCCTTGCGCTGACAGGACGGATGGCTGGTATCACCCTTGCGCTGACAGGATGGATGGCTGGTATCACCCTTGCGCTGACAGGATGGATGGCTGGTATCACCCTTGCGCTGACAGGATGGATGGCTGGTATCACCCGTGCGCTGACAGGATGGATGGCTGGTATCACCCTTGCGCTGACAGGATGGATGGCTGGTATCACCCTTGCGCTGACAGGATGGATGGCTGGTATCACCCGTGCGCTGACAGGATGGATGGCTGGTATCACCCGTGCGCTGACAGGATGGATGGCTGGTATCACCCGTGCGCTGACAGGATGGATGGCTGGTATCACCCTTGCGCTGACAGGATGGATGGCTGGTATCACCCTTGCGCTGACAGGATGGATGGCTGGTATCACCCTTGCGCTGACAGGATGGATGGCTGGTATCACCCTTGCGCTGACAGGATGGATGGCTGGTATCACCCTTGCGCTGACAGGATGGATGGCTGGTATCACCCTTGCGCTGACAGGATGGATGGCTGGTATCACCCTTGCGCTGACAGGATGGATGGCTGGTATCACCCTTGCGCTGACAGGATGGATGGCTGGTATCACCCTTGCGCTGACAGGATGGATGGCTGGTATCACCCGTGCGCTGACAGGATGGATGGCTGGTATCACCCGTGCGCTGACAGGATGGATGGCTGGTATCACCCTTGCGCTGACAGGAGGATGGCTGGTATCACCCTTGCGCTGACAGGATGGATGGCTGGTATCACCCTTGCGCTGACAGGATGGATGGCTGGTATCACCCTTGCGCTGACAGGATGGATGGCTGGTATCACCCTTGCGCTGACAGGATGGATGGCTGGTATCACCCTTGCGCTGACAGGATGGATGGCTGGTATCACCCTTGCGCTGACAGGATGGATGGCTGGTATCACCCTTGCGCTGACAGGATGGATGGCTGGTATCACCCTTGCGCTGACAGGATGGATGGCTGGTATCACCCTTGCGCTGACAGGATGGATGGCTGGTATCACCCTTGCGCTGACAGGATGGATGGCTGGTATCACCCTTGCGCTCACAGGATGGATGGCTGGTATCACCCTTGCGCTGACAGGATGGATGGCTGGTATCACCCTTGCGCTGACAGGATGGATGGCTGGTATCACCTTGCGCTGACAGGATGGATGGCTGGTATCACCCGCGCTGACAGGATGGATGGCTGGTATCACCCTTGCGCTGACAGGATGGATGGCTGGTATCACCCTTGCGCTGACAGGATGGATGGCTGGTATCACCCTTGCGCTGACAGGATGGATGGCTGGTATCACCCTTGCGCTGACAGGATGGATGGCTGGTATCACCCTTGCGCTGACAGGATGGATGGCTGGTATCACCCTTGCGCTGACAGGATGGATGGCT